CCACTACCAGTCAGGATTTTGCAAAGAGCTGAGACCGCGCGTTGATACAACCCAGACAAGTGGGGCGATACCCATCGTTGGAAGTAATTTGCCTAACCCTGTTCAAATAAACCTAAATGGTCACAACAATGGCAGCTTGGTTGATCAAAATACTCAATAAATTATGCCGTTGCCAAATGTGGAAAACATTCAACCAACTGCCCTAGCGCCGCTAGCTGATAATGTAAGGCCAATTGGGATAATGCCACAATTTTATGTAGCACCTGCCCCATATAGACTGAATGTTGTCATCGACAATCAAGTTAGACCACCGTCTCCACCTAGGGGGTAAGATGGTCAGAGACCTATAATGGAAGCAATGCCAATGCCCAATCCAGTGTATGTTCCTCAAGGATCACATATGGTGGTTGACAATCAAGTTAGTGCACCACCTTTGCTTGGAGGACAACCTGCTCAAGTGATCCCCGGTCAAGATTTCCAACAAGTCCAGGTAATAGTAGACCAAGTAATGCAACACTTATCAGACCCGTATATAAGAAACCATATTCAGAGTGGATGGATACTGCTCCACATCCAAGAGGCTTTAAGATGCCTGATTTTGGCCTCTTCTCCGATGAAGATGAGCAATCACCGGTTGAGCATGTTAGCAGATTTGTCGCATTATGCGGTGATACATCTCATGCTGATAGTTGGAAGCTAAGGCTGTTTCCTTTATCGCTGTCCAAGACTGCTTTCACATGGTACACAACTCTACCAGTTAATTCCGTACACTCTTGGGAGCAGATGGAGACACAATTCCATAATTAATTCTACAGGTCAGTACCCAATGTGTCTATTTTTTATTTAGCTGCTATCAAACAACGGAATAATGGATCGGGAGGCAACTTCGTGACTAGATTGAAAAGAGGAAGGAATCTAAGTCTCATATCGTTACCAGAAAGGACTTTTGTTGAAATAGCCTTCCAGTTCAACATGAATTCGTTGGTGAAAGCACGGGCAGTGGGAGTAGATCGAGAAGGAGAAGTAGCCATGGCTGGAGATGATCAAGTGTTTAAGGAGGAAATCTTCGTTGGTAAGCGGATGCAATCTCCGAACTACAAGCACAACTTATATAGACCACATTGATGGAAGTTGAAACGATGTGGTGCATCATTAAAGGACGTGTGCAAATGGGTGCCATAATCGTTGATAAAATTGTAACGACGAGAGACGGAGCAACGTGATGCCGCATTAAAGGACGTGCATGAAAAAGAGCGATAAGGCCGCCAACGAACGGGAAATGGAGAGTGTCTCGAAACACGTCCTTCATGATGAAAGATATTTGTAGTCGATTTAATGCTCTAACACGAAGAGTGATGCAAACGTCAGAATCATGAAGTATATTTTATCCTTTGGCCTGGACATACTGGGTGGAAGATATATAGATGCAATGATTACCTTCTTTATTCAGGAGATAATATTGTCGATTGAAAGATTTGAAGCAGCACGTCCCTCCCAATTAATTAACATCATGTCAGTGGATATCGACTTGAATTGATTTTTGAGTAAGATGCCACAAAGTGAAGTTTCGCCGATCGATCAATTCTGAATTGATCAATTGCGAGTACTGGCGAGGATAAATTGGGGAGACATAACACAAAGTGGAAGGTAAAGCAAATCCTTCGTTAGGAGCATTGCTTGATTATAAGACAGCGAACTACAAACCAAAATGCTTCCTAAGTATATGAACAAAGCTGCGCAAATGCAACTCTCGGTCGCTGTTTGCCTTAATATGTTGGTGTTTGTCACAACAAACACCCTGGAGCATAATTTACAGACGTCGACAAGAAGCTGAAAGTTGATTTACCAGCACCTCTTGATAAAGTTTGGTACGAGGTATGATCTATTGGGGCTAAGAATACAAATTAGAGAGGTAAATAGGTTGAATGAGAATTATTAAGAACTATTGCAAGTTAAAACTTCACCAACAGCAAAAACAATTTAACATAATCAGGAATGCTACTGACAAATACATAATCTGGGATGGTGTTGATAAATATATAATGTAATCGAGTGCAATGCTGATGAACAGATAATGAAGAGATAGAAGCTAGCACACCGAGTTTTATAGTAGTTCGACTCTATCTCCAATCCTATGTCCTCTTCTCAAGACTAACAGCCATAATCTGGCTGGAATCCATTAGTAATAAGCATTACAAGTTACGACCAGAAAGTGTTGTTCCTTTCGCATTATGGATCACACTATCATGACACAACCATTTGCAATGACGCTTGTACACTTGACTACTTGCTATTACAACTTAGTAGCACTACATAGAGATATTATCAGCATCACAGCTGTTGACAACAAATACAGAACAATAAGAAGACTCAAGAGATAAAGACTTGGTTTGTTCATTTCCACCACAACCTCACTACTTCTCTTGGATTGAGTATGTATAGCCTTCCAATCCTTCGATGACTGTTTCCCACTCAACTCCATGAAGTAGCCGTTGGTTCTACCATCATCAGTCTTCAAACGGCTCTCTATCGCTAACCAGCGTAAGAACGGCTTCTAACTATGATAGCTTTCCCGAACAAGTCATACTTCTCAAGTCTAGAGAAAGTTATATTAGAAGATCGACAAGGAATTTTCAACTGAGAATGCACATTTGGAAAGGTCAATATTGACCGGTGATGAACAAAAATGGAGTTCCCTTGAAGTGATGTCATCGCATGCCATTCACAAAAATGTTGACCTCTTCCTAGAAAGCCGACATTGTCAAGAGACAAAAAAACCAAACTGAATGTTTTGTTAGATTGATGTGACCCCAAGCTATCTATTTATAATAAAGCCAAGAGGCTAAAATTACATACATAAAATAACAAAGGAAATTGACAAATATGCCCCCATTAGCCAAATATCTCAACACTCTCCCTCAAGTTGAAGCATAGATATTACACATGCCCAACTTGACTAAAACAGTATAAAACAATTTACCCTCTAATCCTTTAGTGAACACATAAGCAAGTTGATCATCGGACTAAATGAAGGGCATACAAATCAAACCACTCTCCAACTTAAGTGCGTGTCAATTTTAGCATGTTTTGTATTGTCATGCCGTGTAGAATTGTTAGCAATACTAATGGCGACCTTATCATCACAATATAGTATTAGGAATATGAATAGATACACCAAGATCTTCCAGTAATTCTTTAAACCATAACAACTCACAAACTCCATGGGCCATCGCACGAAACTATGCTTCGGCACTAGGCCGAGCAACCACATTATGTTTTTTGCTGCACCAAGTCACAAGATTCCCTCCTAAAAAAGTATAATGCCTATAAATAGACTTCTGATAAGGAGATCCAGCATATTCAGCATCTACACAGTATTCAACTTTCAAGCCATCATGAGGAGACAAAAGAATCTCTTTCCTAGGAGCAAACTTCAATTACTAAAGGTTTCGAAGAACAATATCCATATAAGTAGAGTATGGATCATGCATAATCTAACTCACCAGGCTCACAACAAAAGCAATATTAGGTCGGGGTGGGGGGGGGGGGGGGGGACAAATAAATCAACTTTCCCACTAGCTGCTTATAACGACCCTTATCCATTGGATTGCCATCTTTTTCTCGAAGACGACTATTAACCTCAATAGGTGTATCAAAGGGATGACATCCCAATAACCCAACTTCTGTCAAAAGATTAAGGACATACTTCCTTTGGGATAGAAAAATACCTTTTGAAGATATGGCAACTTTAATCCCGAGAAAGTACCGGAGCTTTCCAAGATCCTTTATGTCGAACTCCTATCCAACCAGCTGATCTCATCACTATCATTCCTCGTGACAACAATGTCATTTACATAGAGAATGAGAATAATGACTTTAGCACCTGATCTCTTCACAAACAAAGTATGATCAACATTACTCTATTTATATCCAATGGAGACCATAGCTTTCTTAAACCTACCAAATAAGCTCGAGGTGACCGCTTTAAACCATAAAGTGCACATTTTAGCTTACATACTTGAGTTTTGTCACAAGAAAAACCTGGAGGAATCTCCATATGCATCTCCTCTTCTAACTCTCCGTGAAGAAAGACATCCTTCACATTTAACTACCGAAATTCCATCCTTGGTTAAGAGTACATGAAAGTAGCACTCGAACAGTATTCAACTTGGCAACATGAGCAAAGATTTCCTGATAGCCAATTCCATAAGTCTGAGTAAATCCCTTTACCGCCAACCGTGCTTTATATCTGTCCTCGATACCATTCATCTTATGTTTGACTATAAACACCCACTTACATCATACCGATTGTTTTCCAAGAGGAAGAACAACAAGATCCCACGTGCCATTTGTCTTTAAAGCATGCATCTCCTTCACCATTGCTGCCTTCCACTTCTCATCTGCAACAGGGTGATGGGGTGATAAAGTGCTCAGATCACTAGTTATTGGAAATTGAAAAGGTATGGTCTTTGAAACATTAACTTTCCCGTCTTAAGATAATGATGACTTTTGGGAGAGTGGAAAGCATGAGACAACTTATAGCACGTCATCAGTCATTAATCAGGGTTGAAGAAAGTTATATTGGAAGATCGACAAGGAATTTCAACTGAGCATGCACATTTGGAAAGGTCAATATGGACCGGTGATAAGCAAAAATGGAGTTACATTGAAATGATGTCACTAAATGCCATTTAAAAAAAATTTGACCTCTTCTTGGAAAGCCGACATTAAAACTAAACTGAATGTTTGGTTAGATTGATGTGATCCCAATCTATTTATTTATAATAAAGCCAAGAGGCCAAAATTAGAATATCACTCTTATTGCCGCTATTCATATGAGAACTCGATGCGATCTCAACGGCAGCTAATCCCTATGAAAATCAACTTTAGTTCATACAAGTCGAAATATTTCGCAACAATTTGATCTTTCAGACACTCGTGAGAAATTTGAAGCAAGGACTGAAAAATGGCAAGGCCTTGCTGCACAGAAGAGCAAGCAATCCAGAAAATAAAGCAGTGAGGGTTGCCAACGATGAAACAAAAGATTCTGCTTAAATTCCACTCTTAGAAGCCCAATGAGTTATTCTGCATGCACAAGGATAATTTTATAACCAGAAGCACCAACAGAGTTATCCAAGGTTTGCTCACTCCTAACTCTGGAAAAGAAGAAGGATAATCGGTATCAATATCAGTAAACCTTTCGAGCAGGAAAAGAAAAGAGACGCATAATGGGAAGCCAAGGGGTCCTTCCAAATCACTCATTAGCTTGTGTGGTGCCAAAATGGGTCATTCTTCTCATTTTCACCCCTTTGATCATTATGCAGAGGCGATAGTGAGAACATGCTCACTGTCGAGCTTCCGCTCTGAATCTCCTCAAATACACACAAAGCAGCTAAATTGATCTTCTAGTACATGCTCTCCATGTGCTCATTCTCAACGAGTTCGCTGGGAACTCTTAGCAGGTCATCTTTCGGATCAGCGACGGTCTCATTGTCCTTCGCCTTGCAGTCTACTGTCTGGTGGTGATTCTCAAAGAGAAGCTGATCGAGCATTCCCTCGCACTCCTTCACAAACTTTTTGAGCACCTCCGTCCTGCAAAATGGCTGTTGCAGAACCTTCCGGATGAAAGGCAAGCAGATAGGTGCTCCGCTTCGCTTGTTGTACTTCTTTATTATCTTCACTAGTCCTGCGGTTTGAAACACGAAGTTAGGCAAGAAAAAAAAGGAAGCAGCGAAGCAGTCATCTTGAAATTTCAGGATGTTTCTTTCACGCGAGACGATAAGCATTTTGATATTATAAGAAATATCCACTTGATGGCCCCCCTTTTAATGATTTTAATCGGCATGCTTTTCACTGCAACTAGCAGAGAACATGGTGATTCCACAGAATCATGAAAGGTCACCAACAGTGCAGTTAGCCAATCACTATAGAAATTAATCACAGTAGCACTTCCCAAATTCCAGTAATTCTCGTCCGTCCTCGGATTTCCTTATCAGAGAAGCCAATGCTATTCTTTGATAAGGCTTTCCCAATCAAAGAAACAAAGGAAAAACCCAAGCAAATCCTCCTGTTACGGAACGTATAGTCTCCTCCAAGCACATGTATTATCATCTAGAACTCAAAATGCTAATTAAAGTAATGTTACATTGTATTTGACTAGATTTCCAGATAACTAATTTGACAAAGACCATGTTCCAGGTAACTATGGACTAATACAGCATGATTACTAATTACAATTGGTCAAAACTGTTTCTGCTTGAGAGAGAGATATACACGAAGTCTGAACTTCATGCATCTGTATGCCTACATGTTTCTGTGGATGTACGCACTCAAAAGGATATGGAGCCTCAATGGCCAGAACTAGTTTACACATTGTTACCTATGCAGTTAAGAGAGCTGTAATTTTCGAGGAAAACCATTTCTCCGTGGAAATCCACTATTTCGCGACGCAGTTCCATCAACTTGTTGTCCATGCCCTCGGTCTTTGCTACTCGGTCTTTCAATTCCTACACCCCAATGAGACCCGTGAGGAATGAGACTCGAGTTTCAAGTTAGAGTATCACGATAGCAAAACCAAGCGATTGCTTTTCAAATTAGGAGAGAAGTAGCATACACACCGGACAAAGACACAAAAAAGTAGCAAAATGGGAAATATAACAAATAGCAGCGTCGTGTTAATGAAGTTGCTGGCTTTCAGAATTCTGGTCCTGTCTTAAGGCATTGTATCAGACCAAAGCTCCTTTTTCGGTTTCATCTACCAAACACAAGCAAAAGCTTGATTTTGAAATAGGTTATGTCCTTAAGAAACATCTTGCAATTCATAGTGATGCGCAGGCCTGCTTGTAAAACTCCCAAGATGATGTCTTCAGATACTTCCACTATGCTACTCCATGAGCAGTGAAACACGAATACTAATCAATTTGATCGCTCCACTCGTTATTCTGAAATTTACCATCCAGCTCAGATCCTTTCGTCTTTCTAGCTCGACCGCATGAGTAATTTGATCAAGCTCACAATTAATTAAGCTCTTGCATATTATGAAACCACTTTCACAGTGAGATGCTAGAAAACAGAACCATTTCATTCATTCATTGATTACCAGACTAATTCAACAAGCATAAATCACACGCTCTGCATTCCACAGAAAACAAGCTGTCATATTTGTCAAATCTCATTCCTGGTGCACTAAGTTCAGTTGCCTCAAATCTCACCCACAGATTTTGAATTCGAAATCATAAAAAAAGTCAGGGAGATGAGAACCAAGCAAAAAAGTGAGAAAGAAATTACTTTACCGCCCATCTAATGATATACTCTTCCTCTTTGTCCATGAAGAACCCATTGATCTTGTTGATCTCGCCATCCAACAGCTCCACGAAATCGACTTCCTCCTCCGCCTCCGCAGTGCAATCCGCGGAGTCCAGGCGGCGGCGCTTGACCCGTGGGTGGTGCGTGCCGCTGTCTTTCCGGTAGAAGAGCTTGATTTGCTTCTTCAAGTCCTTGTAGCACAAGAACTTGTCGCGCCAATCGCGCTGCGCCTCGACGTTCAGCCTCTTCGGGATCTTCGATAACTTCATTGGTATCGCAATAGGGCCTCTCGGTCCCTCTCTGGTTTTTTAAGGAAGGGGGGAGAGAGAGGGGGTGAAAGGGACAAGGGTGAGGATATTCGGCTGGTCGGGGAATATGGGAATAAACTAAGACGACGGACTGCTGCATGGTCCTTCTTCTTCGTCTTCCTGGTAGATATCAATGGGATATATGATTGGATTGGCTTCGTTTACTTCTTCGGACATTTGGAGCTGGCGAAAACGTTGGGATTGAAGGTTCTTTACCAGGAAGCGACGAAACGTCGTTGTCTGTTATGTGCTTACGAGGAGAAAGACGAGACATCCTCGGGATCTTCTCTTTCATTCGTTCCTTTTCCTTTCGTTATTTTCCTCCGCTTGGTTTCGTAACCTCCGACGGTGCAGACAGAGTCGATGTCAACTCTCGACACGATCACCGCCGGTTCGAGATCGCGAGGCGTGAGTTTACTTACGAAAATATTTGAAATTTAACATGACATACAACCGAAGGCGATCGAATTCAAAAATGACACGACTCGACTCGTTTGGACGATCCATCGTTATACATAGAAACATGGTTTGACTTGAGTGTGTATGATGAATGTTAAATGAGTCGATATGGCGAGAAATGGGGCAGCTTCGGTTTGGCCTGGTTGAATCCCGGGAAGTACCAGGCGATACTAGGGGTTGATCAAGGAATATGCGTTTAGTTTACTAAAAATGATCAGTCAACCGAAAAATATTTATCATCAAAGAAAATATGCATGCTTAAAATGGATCTGTCAATATGGGTATTAAACCCAAACTTGTTGGAATAGGTTATAATAGGTCACTTTAAATTTGAAGAGCATAGCCATAATAGGTTCCAAAATTTAGAACCCGAAATAAATGGGTTCAAATGGGTTCTACAGCGAACCTGTTTCCAATCCACAAGGACTCGGATCCTTAGACATCTAGCTAAATGTAAGTTTCGCCACTAGATGTGCTTAAAATACCTCAATTTTGCTCGGATCCTTAAACGTCAAAATAATTCCCAAAAACTATTAATGCCATTTTTTTTTCTAGAGACGAAATCAGGTGAAATGCATTCATCATTTTACGGCCCCAAATGACTCCGCACGCCGTGTGTGTTCATATTTTGAGTTATAACGTGCAAAATATGAATAAGTCCTAATGTGCGAGTGTATACATGTGCAACAGACTAAATGATATGATACACCCTTAGTTTTGAAATGGGAAAATACTACAAAAAATCTCAAATTATGTCGCTTGTGATAAATTTAGCCTGAACTTTTTTTTGTGACACGAAAAATCTTAAATTATGCCACTTGTGACAAATTTACCATGAACTTTTTTTTGTAACACGAAAAACTCCAAACTATGCCACTTATGACATATTTACCCCACAATAATTTAGCTCATTGGCATTTTCGTCTTTTTCCTTTTTCTTTTTTTTTTTCCTTTTTTTTTCTTTTCTTCTCTCTTCCCTCCGCCGGCCATGGCGGAGGGAAGTCGGCGAGGGCGGCCCTCGCCGGCGCTGGGTTGGGCGAGGGCAGCCCTCACCTGAGTCGGGCGAAGTCGCCCTCGCTGGCGTCGGGCGAGAACAGCCCTCGCCCAACCCAGCACCAGCGAGGACCGCCCTCGCCAGCTTCCCTTCGCCGGAGAAGAAAGGAAAAAAAAAACAGAAAAAGCAAAAAGATGAAAATGCCCATGGGTCAAAGTATTATGGGGTAAATATGTCACAAGTGGCATAATTTGGAGTTTTTCGTGTCACAAAAAAAGTTCAGGCTAAATTTGTCACAAGTGGCATAGTTTGGAGTTTTTCGTATCACAAAAAAAAAGTTCAGAGTAAATTTGTCATAAGTGGCATAGTTTGGGGTTTTTGGTGGTATTTTCACTTTTGAAATTGACAAAATCCTATTATTATTTGGCCTACTTAAACAGGGTACTTTCATCCTTTCAGCTATCTATAATAATGACTTTGGACGCCGACGATACTTTTAGGGGGAACAGCTGTAGTTTTGAAAATATTTTTGAAAATCATGACATGCAAGGTTTAAAACAGAAATCACGGCCTAGAGAAATTACAAAATTTCCTAAGTTTATTCTAGTAGAGAAATTGGGAAAAATGACCAAAAAAGTCACAAACCTACTATTCGTATGCTAATTCAGTCATAAACCTTTTAATTTAGCAAATTGAGTCCTGAACGTTTTGACAGTTCGCCAATTAACTCATTTCGGCCAATTTTGGCCTGCAATCGCTGACGTGGACACATGCCGTCCTACGTAGTATGGCCAGAGCCAACGTGGATAAATCTTTTACATTTTTTTTTATCATGCAAAAATCAAGACTTTGCCCTTGTTACATAACTTTTGGATGAAGGAAGGGACTAAGGTCTAAAGAGATTAGTATAGCAAGAAGAAGTAATGAAGACATGATGAATTATTGATTCTTGGAAGCAAAGGTGGGAACAGATTCTGGCTTCCATGGTGTATGAAAGACATTATCTCTTTCTTCTCTTGTACATCTTACAATGCCGTGATCTCTCTCTCTCTCTCTCTCTGCTTCTTCCTTTATAACCCAAACACTTCTTGCCCGCCATTGTACCCCCACGTTCTCTCCTAAAAGTTGCAACTTCTTACACGAACATCAAAAGTAAAGCATGTTCCTTTTGCTAGATTGACCTTTTTTCGATTTTGTCCCTCTCTTTTTGCACACGTTTCTTGATTTTTCGAGCATCATGGTACATGCTTGATTCACCCTTTTACTCACTTCTTGACCCCAATGTCATTTCAGGCTTTCCTTTCTTTCTTTCTCCTCGCGGCCGGACATGTGGATCTCGAGTACGTGAGTTCGGCCCTTGAAATACCCCGCGAATCTCGTGAAATTATTTTTCGGGTTTTATTTAGGTTGATGGGTTGCGCATGTTTTTTGAAGGGGAGATGACGTCGCGTCTGCTTCATGGGATGCTCAATGTGGAAATATATGAGATCAATAGGCTCCAACTAGGATGCGGATTTAATCTTTGTGGGAAGGTACACGATTTCATCCTACAATTTATGTCCTTTTTTTTTTGGCTAGAAATACTACAATTTATCATGATATAAGCAAAAACACATCGGGAAAATCAATTGAGTTAAACTTTCTTCTTTCTTTTTCTATAAAATAATCTGAGGATTTCTCCAAGAGGGCAATGTATTCAAAGAGAATGATTGACATAGATGTTGGAGTTAGTACCTTCTAATTAATTTGATTTATTTTGTTGAGATTGATGAAATAAAATGTTGCTTAATCCACAAAATTTCATTGTACCCATTTTTTCCCATTTTAGTATTAGACATCAGATTAGCCAAATAAGATATCATCAGAAGACGTATCCTTGCTTGAAGCATGCTTCATATTTCTGTCATTGACATTGTCTGCGATTGAGGATCTTGCGATCATTCAAGTTATAATATATGACGAAATTTTCTTTTTTCATAATCAAACAAGTATTTTCGCTTGGGGTGTGCAAAACGGAACGCCCAAACCTAGAGCCGCCCAAACCGGCCGGTTTGGTCCAGTTTCCGGAAGTGTCGGTTCGGTTCCCGGTTCCTAAAAGTGGAACCGGTATCTAGGCTGTCCGGTTCTCGGTTCCAAGGGGAATCGAACTGAACCGGACCAGACTGTCTTTTTTTTTTGTGATTATGTGTAGTCAGCATGAAAAATATAATTCCAATTTTAGAACATATGTGTAGTCGGCATGGGAAACACAATTCTAATTTCAAAATATATGGTATTGAGTAGTGGGAAAAAAAAATAGTGACCGGTTCCAATGGACTGGACCGAGAACTGATCACCCCTAATTTTCACTAGCGAGGTCTCATTTGAATGCGATCGGTTTTAGAGTAGGCAGGTTTCAAACCTACAACTTGAAAACCGAACCCATTAACTTTCATATCAGTTCTAAGAGGTCGATCTACGGATCGACCTACTTTTTGTTCTTTCTATTTTATCGACTCTTTTCTTTCTTTTATTATTCCTCTTCACACGCACCTCACCTCAAGCTGAGGCTATATATTTATACACCTTCAGGTGGAATTTCGAGGTGAGCTATGCAATCAGATTGTCGTGTTTTGACCTTTTTAGCAAAGATCTTTGTTTCTTATTTAGGAATGGACTGTATTAGACTAGTTTTGGCCTTTTTGGGTGTTCAGGGAATAGAGCAGCCACCTGATTCCCATGCTTTGTTTAGACAGTCACAATGGAAAAATCGAGGATGAGAAGCTTAAAATCTCCTGTGTTTCAATATGAAATGAAAGTTAGGAGGCTTTTACAGTTTGATTTTGAATCAATGCAAAGTTTATTCTACCCGAGAACTGGCCTTAATCGATCGACCGGTTCAAGATAGGGAACCGAATCGATCAAGGTCGGATCCCAATTTTTTTACCGGGAACCGGGCTGGAATTGATAGGGTCAGGCCGGCTCGGTTCGGTTCCCGGATTGAACGGACTAACTTGCACATCTCTAGTCTCACTAACATAAAAGAAAAGCCTGCAAACGTATTCGCTAAGCCTTATAGTACTTTCCTTATAATCTCCGCTCTTATGTTTGATTATGAACATGAATCTACTTTCCTTTCGCCTTCAAACTCGAAATTTAAAGACCGCGAGTAGCAAGAGCTTCATGAGAAGATTCCTATCCGAGGTCAAGAGGTTGATCTTGTGCCGTCCCGAGGTACTACTCGATCTTCGACCGGTTCATTTGTTTCCTGATCCTTCCGCTTGGCCTAATCAGATAGAGACTGTTGAACACCAACTGTGCAGATTGTGGGGTCGTATCTCTACGCGACTGTGGATTTGGACAGGGCTAGGGTCGCGCGGACGCGTATGATCCAGAACGAACAGTCGAACCCGCAGTGGCACGAGGCCTTCCACATCTACTGTGCTCATTGGATCTCCCAGATCATACTCACCGTCAAAGACGACAATCCTGTTGGAGCAACCTTAATTGGGAGGGCCTATGTTCCTGTTGAGGATGTCATAAAGGGCTATATAGTGGACAGGTGGGTCCCGATCGAGGACGACGACCACCGCCCGATCCACGGCGGGGCGCGGATTCATGTCCGGCTGCAATTCTCGACCGCCGCTCAGGACAGTCACTGGTCGCGTGGGATCCTTAAACCGAACTTCGAAGGTGTTCCTCGCACGTTCTTCACCCAGAGGCAACATTGCAGGGTCACTCTATATCAAGATGCTCATGTTTCAGATCATTTTAGTCCTCGCATCCCGCTCTCTGTCGGACAGTACGAGCCCCACCGGTGCTGGGAGGACATCTTTGACGCGATCGACAACGCAAAGCACTTGATTTACATAGCGGGATGGTCAGTCTACACGGATATCGCCCTGATAAGGGACCCGCGCGGGCTCAGGAAAGGGACCGGGGTCACGTTGGGTGAGCTGCTGAAGAATAAGGCTAACGAGGAGGGCGTGACGGTCCTGATGCTTGTCTGGGACGATCGCACGTCGGTCCCAGAATTGAAACGGGACGGGCTGATGGCAACGCACGACCAAGAAACGGCACAGTACTTTCGGAACACAAAAGTGCATTGCTTCCTGTGCCCGCGGAATCCCAACGTGGCCGCGACAAGCATAATTCAGGACGTGGAGATATGGGCGTTGTTTACTCATCACCAGAAGATCGTGGTGGTTGATGCCGAGATTCCCGAGGGAGGATCGCAGATGCGGAGGATCGTGAGCTTCATCGGCGGCATCGATTTGTGCGACGGCCGGTACGATACGCAGGACCACCCGCTGTTCAAGACCCTGAATTCAGACGTCCACAGGAATGATTTCCATCAACCGAATTTCGAAGGCGCTTCGATCAAGAAAGGCGGCCCGAGGGAGCCGTGGCATGACGTTCATTGCCGTCTCGAAGGCCCCGTTGCGTGGGACGTCCTCTATAACTTCGAGCAGAGGTGGAGGAAGCAAGTGGGGGAGCAATTCCTCATCCCGATAAGCAAGATGGAGCAGATCGTAATCCACCCATCGCCAGCCGCGTTAGCTGATGACCCGGACACATGGAATGTCCAGTTGTTCCGGTCCATTGACGCCGGCGCAGCAGCTGACTTCCCCAAAGACCCCGATGCTGCAGCTGCCGTTGGCCTCGTTGGCAGCAAGGACAACGTCATTGACCGGAGCATCCAGGACGCCTACATCAATGCGATCCGCCGGGCCAAGAAATTCATCTACATCGAGAACCAGTACTTCCTCGGCAGCTCCTTTGAGTGGAATCCCGAGGTTCCGGACATCCATGCACTGCACCTGATCCCAAAGGAGTTGTTGCTGAAGATCGTGAGCAAGATCGAGGCCGGGGAGAGGTTTGCCGTGTACATTGTGATCCCGATGTGGCCCGAGGGTATACCAGAGAGCGAGTCGGTGAAGGCGATACTGGATTGGCAGAGGAGGACTATGGAGATGATGTACAGAGACATTGCCAATGCCCTCCGGAGGAAGAGGATTGATGCCGATCCTAGAGATTACTTGGCCTTCTTTTGCCTTGGAAACAGAGAAGCAAATAGGGATGGTGAGCCAGAGCCTGAAGAGAAACCACAGCCAAATAGTGACTATTTCAGAGCCCAGCAAGCAAGAAGGTTCATGATTTATGTCCATGCCAAGATGATGATAGGTGAGTGAACGAGCATTGAGTACTGGCCTAACACCCTAATTTTTCGTTTATTTACTTGGCAACCGATGAACTTTGATCGGATTACGACCGATCTTCCGACGAAGTGCTGATCCATGTCCCTTTTCAGTTGACGACGAGTACATAATCGTCGGATCGGCCAACATCAACCAGAGGTCCATGGACGGCGCCCGGGACACGGAGATCGCCATGGGCGCGTTCCAACCGAACCATCTGGCCACTACTGATCAGTCACCTAGGGGTGACATCTACGGCTTCCGAATGTCCTCGTGGTATGAGCACCTTGGCCGTCTTGAGGAAACTTACAATCGTCCGGAGAGTCAGACATGCATGAGGCGGGTGAATGCGCTCGCCCAGCGGAATTGGGAATTGTACTCGGACGACACGTCCGTCGAAGACTTGCCGGCTCACTTGCTCCGTTACCCGATCGAGATCGCCGGAAATGGAGCTGTCACGCCCTTGCCCGGGCTTGCACATTTTCCCGACACTAAGGCTCCAATCTTGGGCCAAAAATCTGATGATCTTCCTCCTATTCTGACCACTTAAAAGATGATCAGATGCAAAATCGTTCGTTGTAGTGACAATGCACTATTAAACACCACCAAATTGTAAATCTATCCACCTTTCCCAGTTTGCAATATCAATCTATGGCTATCTGTATCAAGGAAAGCACAAAGAACTCGTTTATAATGTATAAAGTTTGTCAGCAAATACATGGCGATTCTTGACATGACAGGTCATAACATGAGAACACAATCTAATCCGGCATGACATTAGTGTTGCGGGATTTCTCCTTGAGTGTGTCCATGTAAGAAACATATATGTATACTTTCTCATCGCCGTCAAAGTAAAGGCTCGTTGGGGCCTTCACGATGGCGGCCATCCTCACTTGGCCACCGGCGAGGGTTGTGGCCCTAGCCTAGCATCCATGACTCACAAAAGAGGAAGTGGAATGTAACGAAGTCGCGAGCGATAGAGAAGAGCCGTTTCACCGCCTAGAGGGCGAACTCGATATTGGCCGACTAGTTAACACGCTCGGCATCGCCAAAGGTGGACTCACAAGACTTGAATTATCTCTTTGAAGAGGTGCGTCGAGAGAGACACACCTACGGACAAGATCGGCTAGCCTCGCACACGCTCAAGTAGATTCCGCCGCCGCCACTAATACAAGTACAGCCTCGTACGTGCTCGAGCAGGTCTCTAGCAACCAACCCGGCATGGCTCTGCGCATGGCCTCACTTTCTATCTCCTCCTCCGACTCTCTCCTCCGTAGCAAGCCCGAGCTATGTGTCAGCTTTCTCTATCCAGGGCTGGCCAACCCTTGCCTGCTTGTGGCAATGGCGCTGGCGGCCTTGCAAGGGTAGGCCGCCCTTGCCGCGGCCCCTGGTGCCGGCCCTCATCGGCGATAGGTGGCGGCCCCGTCTCTTTCTCTCTCTCTCTAACTCCAACTTGTGCTCTTTGTCCATTAAATTTTTTGTCTTTCTAATAATTTTGCTTAAATGAATTGACAGATTAGCAAATGCAAGTCTCACGGCCGAAATGAGATGAAAGATTATAAATTGGTCACACTAAAAGAGTTCCAAAAAATCAAATTGATTATAATTAAGTAAAATTAAAGTTCGAGGATCAAGAAATACGAAGAGGAGGTTATATCAGAAAAAGGGATAATGACACAAACAGTCCCTGAACTTTGATCCAATGTGTAATTTGGTCCCTGAACTTTTGATTTGTTCAATATAGTCCATAAACTTTAATATAATGTGCAATGTGGTCCTTGAACTTTTAATTTGTTCAATATCATCCCTGAACTTTTGGTACATGTTCAATTCGGTCCCTGAACTATATGAAAATGTTCAATACAGTCCTTTAGGACTGATGCTAAAGGACCACATTGAAAATGTTCAATACAGTCCTTTAGAACTATATGAAAATGTTCAATATATCATCTCCAGGGATGATATTGAATAAATTAAAAGTTCAAGGACCACATTGCACATTATATTAAAGTTTATGGACTACATTGAACAAATTAAAAGTTCATATATCAAAATACATATTGAGTCAAAGTTCAGGACTCTTTGCGTCATTTCCCCATCAGAAAACAACAAAAATCCAGAACAGGAAGAAATCAAGAACAACTTGACAGGACATAGCAGACTCGTAGACGAAGAAGACGAAGGGCGAGAGAGAGAGCGAGAGAGAGCAGGCAGCTGACGACTCTTCACCATGCTTGAGGTACTGGGCGAAGCATATGGATGTGTCGGTCTCTCTCCTCGTGTACATAAAGCCGGAAAATTTAGGGGAAGTGATGGGTGTTCGTTCTTAAAGAACGGTTCTTTCTCTTTCCTCGGGTTCGGGTTCTGTTGTTGTTTGTGCTTTCGGAGCCAAACTGGGCTCGAACATCATCAAGACCGAAAACTTGTTTCTGGGTTTTGATTTAGTCCGACGGAACATGATTCGACATGATTCTTTTTCGCAGGGTCGCGGGATGTCTCCCTTCAGTTTCACCAGAGGGTCTCGAGCTCGACGCTTGTAGCTTGTAAATGCCGCTCTGGAGACACCTCCCACCATCGATCTGTCAAATTGTTTCGTGCATGGGGTGAGCTTTTGCTCCCTGGCTTCACTCGTTTCTGAGAAATGCTTTCTTGCTGGATGGTTTTATTGCAGGAATTTCAGATGTGCAGGGGCTACAGTACCCATTTTATTGTTCAAAACATTCAGTTTCTTTTTTTACTATAAAAAAGACACTCAGTTAAATATGATACTTTTGTAATTGTTCTTTTGTAATGTGTATTATTATGCATTTTGATACGTTTCCAAAAAACTATGGATTTCGATATTCTTTGGTCTCAGCTGGTGCTAGGTTGAAAAATTTTGTATGAAAATTAGATTGCTTCTAAGGTGGGGAAGGCAGAGAGTTTCATTTCATGCACCCGGGGTTTATAAATATTCATTTCATGTCACCAAAAAACTTTCTTTGGCTTAATTGAGTTAGAGTTATGTTTCGGACTCGATGACTCACATAAGGGTAATAATTTCGATTTCATTGGTTCAAGCTTATTACGAGTAGCTATTATCCGTTTCTTGAACTTGGGCTCTTCACTCTTTGTTTCTTGTTTGCAACTCTTCGGCTCTAGAAAGACTTTGCTTCCTTTGTGGTTCCAGGAATCTTATATGTACATCTATATGCTCTTATTGGGAATGTTAGTGTCTTGTTCTTACCTTCCTAGGCAAACCAAGTGCATGTTTGGTAATGCACACTCTAAGGTTGCTTTGCAGTTGGTATGGAATCATTTTGCGTTTGCTTGTTCAGCAAGTGACAGTTTTCAAGAGTTTGTGAACATTGTAAATCTATGTCCAATAAGAATCTGTTGGCCTTTCATAGTTGCCATTCTTTACTTGAAATCTTGTGTATTCGGTTGTCCTATCTGGGAGTCCTTTTTTCTTCCTTTCACAGGATTTTGTGAGATCAATGCATTCTAGAAATAAATGCTGTTCGTTTTCTCTGTTGGATGGATGCTTTGGAAAGAGAAGTAGCTGCTTGTTTTTAGGAGCCTATTCTCATATTCTTGCACTTTACATAATGGAGAAGTTTAAGGGAACGTTCAAGGCACTTTTCAATGTAAGGAATTGTCTCTATAAGTATTTGAAGGGGAAGGAATTGTATTTTGAGATGTTCGTGTCTATAATGTTGATGTGCAATTTTTTTTGTCTCTTTTCCCTTGGGTCATGTCATCTAGGTAATTTGATTTGCCACACATTGAGATAAACATTCATAACTGTTAACTAAGTTAATAAGGACAGCCCAGTGCAGGAATTTCCCGCAATTCGTGGGTCGGGGCGAGGGCCAGACCGGTTTGGGTCGATTATATGCTGCCTTAAATTGCGACTCTTTTTTTGTTTGCACTTGCATAAATTTGCTTCAGTGCTTCACCTGGCTAAATAACACTAAGGGAAAATTTTGCTAAAACTCTTGGGGACATAGTTGATTTAATGGAAGATTTTATTGCACTGGGAATAAGCTTTTCATGGTGAAATGCTGGTATCTAAACAATTACAAGTACTTGATGATGGCATAGTTGGCCTCATAATCTTTTCTTTGTTTTGGTAGTTGATTGAGCATCAAGTTGTTTTAATCCAGTACTAATCATTTTTTTGGTCGAACCTGATTTGTAACAGAGCAGAGGCTGTCTTGGATGCTTTACTAAACCTCCACTAGGTATCTCTGTGGATGATTCTTCAAAGGGACAGCAAATTCAAGGCCAAGCAGTGAAGAAACGATTCATCGCAGTCGACTCCTGGAGCACTAGCCATTGTGAAATGGATAACAGTGTTGCACCTTCTCAAAGAAGTATATACTCTATCAGCACATTAAACCAGACCCTTGATCCTCCTGACAGCGGTGCTGGTGAACCGAGCAACCCATCCGAGTTTGTAAATCGCGGCAAGTCTGATTGCTCCGTGCATTATTTCGTTTAACATATCAGAAACACCTTGGCTTCTCATTGTGAAAATGTTAATTGTTATATAATGTCATGCGGTGGTAATTTAACTGTTTCTAGAGGTTACTGGTTTCTTGGGCGTACCTGAAGTGTACTTCACAATGATAATTTGCACTTCGATCCTAATGTGGGCAACTGAGTAATCTTGACATGAATATTGGCGACACAGTAGGTTCATATACCTTGTTGCCTGTAGACATAAACTAAGAGGAGTTATGCGAGGCCCTTTTTTTTTGTAGTGAAGTAGTTTTGCGGGCAAAGCATATTGTTATCTCCAATTCCATTTTTTTTTGTCATCTCCATATGCTCTTTTTTTGGGTTCTATAGCTTGCCAATTTCTATGCTCTTATAGTAAGTATTTTGACATGGTCAACCTGGTAAATTCTTGATCTATGACATTTTAATTCGGGATTCAGAACAGTACAGTCGTTGTGTAAGAAGAAGATGCTCTCTTTTATGTTGGTCTGGTTACTTTAGTTGACTGCTTGAAACAATTTACAGGGGCTTACAGTTTATCTTGAGTTCTCTTTTAGCATTGCGTTCATGCAAGTTCTTTGTTTTCATTTTTGTTTATGCTTTTCATTTGAGCAATTTGCTGGGGCAGGCCTTCTTCTATGGAACCAGACAAGGCAGCAATGGACTGCAAATAAGGGAACTCAGAATCGCACACAAGTTCGAGAACCTAAAATCAGGTGAAATAAGTTTTATCATCATCAATTATGACATATATATTCACTCCGATGAAACAATAAGTATATATTATGCAGTTGATAGCTTCTTTAAGTCATTTCTCTGTACCAGATAGGACCTTTGCCCAGTTTAAGGACCAAGCAATTGCTTTGACCTCTTGTCTAGAATCAAATTTACAGTATTCAGTGAACATCAAGTAAAGCGGAGCGTATGCTTAACTAGTTTTAAAAGGTGGAAACTGAGTAGTAATCGTTGGAATTAGCTGTCATATTGCTACAGCTCATATCTTGTTATTCATTACTGGTTATGGTCTTATTTAAGCAGATCAACACCATGAAGAACCACTCAAACTCAACTAAGAGGCTTGGTATTTGATTTCGTGAGAATGTCTTGTGGTTGAGTAGATGATGGACCTGTTCGTCTAGGCTCACATCCATAGAAATTGGTCTATCTCAAGGGATATACCATTTGTGCTTACTCTTATTATACTGAAAGGAGTAAAAGAGTACCAGTTATGGGAATTACGCTTTTGAGCCTTTGGGGTCAATTATGAGCAAGTTCAAACGTCCAAGCAGATTTTGAGTATATTGTCTTGTGCGTGGCTCGCTTGCATCATTACAATGATGTTTGTACGAATAAGCTTCATGATTTTTGCTCTTTTCTCGAAGTTTCTCATTGAAGGACTGAGTTTCAACTGCAATGTTTTTGCAGCTGGAATGCGACTTACGACAGCCTACTCGGAAACAGCAAGCCTTTCCGACAGCCTATTCCACTTGCGGTAAGTAACTTTTTAAGGAAAAAGAAAAAGTTCTCTGATGTGTTTTTTTTCTCACTGGTGTTACAAGTTCGCCACTTCTGATTGCTTCTGGATCGAATGGCAGGAAATGATAGATTTTCTCGTCGATGTCTGGGAGCAGGAGGGCTTGTACGATTGACAGTGTAGCCATCTCGGTAATGTTCACATTCAGGGGCTGCTTGTGAATTCTTTTATGCGAAACTGCATATGATTGTGTTGCGCATTTGACTCGACTAAATGCTCCGTAATGCATGTGCAAAGAGGCTTCGATATATCGCCTGCGGGGCTGCCACAAGAAAATGTGTGGATGATTGAACTAAAAATGCTTGTGTTCGGGTCGCTGGTTCAATTTGCCTCGTCTTTTGGCCCTGCAAACTTCTTCATTATGAAAGTCTAAGATATAAACATTAGGAAACAAATTATTCAAAGCCTGAAGAGGTGAAAGAGAACAATTCTTCAAGATTCAGGATCCATGAACCCCGATACTGCTCTCACGACAGCCATGATGACTATGCATAATGTTGTAGAAACAAGCAGCGATTGAACAATAAAATAGACAGAATAAGAACATAAATCAAACACTAAATTTGCATGATTCGTTTGGGTGAATTATATCCACGGGGAGAGCAGTAAAGAATTTCACTGTAAATCAAGCAATATAACGGAAATTACAATCACACTCGAGTCACTAAAACACTCTCAGTGTTTCTCAAGCCTTGGTTATATTCAATAATTTACATAATGATTAGCTTCATAATTTTTCACGAAATAATCTCTCAATTTCACAAAGGAATTGGCAAATCTTATTCACAAGATTTAATTAGTTTCAACGCCTGTCTCTTGGACGTAATTTGTCGAAGAAGCACCGCGTTGGATTCGCGGCTTCGCCAATCCAAAGTAGTAATTATAAACATCCTCTGACCCGTATGTGTTGAGACAAGAAGCCAAATATGGGTTTGACGCCAACTGGGAAATATAAACCAAGAAGGCGTGTAAAACAAATCTTTTGGAATTCTATCCCACCGCCAGAGAAATCCAAAATTGGTCTAATTCAAAGTCCATGTTGGACTTTGCCGAAGACTCCAACCCACGTTAGGAAAACTAATTTTCGAAACTTAATCTTAGATTTCTCTTTTCTTTTTTTCTTATTTCCGAAATTCAGATTTTCGTTTTGGGCTCGAACTCGAGACACATTCTCGCAATTTCCACTTTGACTCGATGTTTAAGCCAAATCACAATCTCTCTGCAGTTCACTAGAACTTGAGCACCGCTGCTCTCCCGCGGGCCACGGCCCCTCAAGTCCAATCCTTGATTGAACTTCGCTATACAACTGTGGATTTCATCAAAACACCAACTTCACCTACACTTTTAACTACTTCACAAGGATTTTCTGACATAACGTCCTCAACCATAAATAAAGCAAAATCATCGTTGCATCCATATTTGCCAAGGGATCGAACACTTGCCTTGTCAATATCAGTTATAGTAAATGTGGCTCTATAAGTTCCACCTTGCTACAAACACCATTTATGTCGATTTTTTCCGTTAGTATCCGCTACTCAGGAGTTTTTGGCTGCAACTCCACCTTAAACTGAACACCATCCAGATTGATATGAACACTGCCAATAACACTCCTACCCAGAAGTACTAGAGACTCGTCAAATGTAACTTCTCTGCTGATAACAAATGAAATTAATTCCGCGCAACACAACTGATAGCCCCACTAATCTTATGAATAACCTAGGAACAACATGTTGCGGTTTGGCTGACACTAGTACGGTATCTCACTAAGCACTTCTTTACGTAAAATTCATTTAACAGCCTCAAGCAAAACTTCACATCAGTCCGCCAGAAAAATTCAAAATCGGTCTAATTCAAAGTCCAAGTTGGACTTTCCAACTCCAGTGGCCGAAGACTCCAACCCACATTGCGAAAACTAATTTCCGAAACTTAATTTTTTTCCGAAACTTAATTTTAGATTTCTCCTCTTCTTCTTCTTTTTTTCGAAATTCAAATTTTCGCTCCATACTCAAACTCAAAACATATTCTAACGCATGATGTGGCATACCAAATGCCATGCCATCTTCATACATCGAGCCAGAGGTTCGATTTTAGCATCGGTTCTGTTTCCAGACCGGTCCGACTGCGAAAACAGTTGCCAACGCGGTTTGCTTCTCCGAATCTTTAGATGGGGCCTCATTTCCCAGCAATGTCTCGGTTCACAGGGGAGAAAGGGACAGGCTACGGATAGATGCATGAACAACAGCCGATGGTCCCAGTTTTCCTCACACAGGAATGGGATAAGAGGGAAGCCGGTCCTTTCAAATTTGAATGCTAAGACACGTTCCATGGCCCGCATGATCTTATTTGTTTAGTTTGTCATCCACGCAAAGATGAAAGTCCAATGTGAAACCGGGTCTTGCTTTTCTTCTCTCTCTCTCTCTCTCTCTCTCTCTCTCTGTTTATACACGAAGATGGCCCATTCATGAAAAGTTCTCGTCTTACGTCGTACTTGACGTGTCTTGTCTCCCGATTTCGGTTCACCCTCGTGAAAAATGTTGGACCCAACAGCCATAAACAGGACGACCTCGTTATTCTTGGGAAAAATGATACAGACAATTTATTAACTTTTGCTTAATGTGCAATTTGGTTCTTGAACTTTTAATTTGTTCAATATAGTCCCTGAACTTTAGGCTAATGTTCAATATGGTCCTTGAACATTTATTTTGTTCAAGGTCATCCCTGAACTTTAGGTACATGTTCAATTCGGTCCCTGAATTATATGAAAATGTTCAATATAGTCCTTTCCATTAATTCAAGTTGAAGGACTATATTAAACATTTTCATATAGTTCTGGGACTGAATTGAACATGTACCAAAAATTCAAGGATGACATTGAACAAAATAAAAGTTCAGGGACCACATTAAACATTAGCCTAAAGTTCAGGGACTACATTGAACAAATTAAAAGTTCATGGATCAAATTGTACATTGGCCAAAGCTCAGGGACTATTTGTGTCATTATACCTTATTCTTGCAATGGGGAAGACGTGTCATTTTCACTTTGTAAAATCTGCTGTACTCAGAAGGAAGAGTTTACATAAGAAGCACGGGAAAATTGTCCAAAAAGTCTTAAATATATTGTATGGCGGTAGCCAATTCAGTCATAAGCCTTTCAATTGTGTTAATTTAGTAATAAATCTTTTGATGATTTGCCAATTTAGTTTTTTCGATTAATTTTGACAGGAAATTACCAATACAGATGCCAGCCATCCTACATGTCACGGCCGGCGCTACGTGGATGGATGTCGGCCCTACAGCAAAAAAGAAAAGAAAAGAAAAGAAAAGAAAATTTAAATAAAAAAATCAGAAATTTTTTTAAAAAATTGCAAAAACTGTCCATGGTCAGAGAACAAAAGAGAGAGAGAGAGAGAGAGAGAGAGAGAGAGAGGAAGGAAGGTTGAGCAAAGGGTGTCGTGACTAGTGGTGGCGATGGCTAGAGTGGACATCGCGATGGCAAGTGACAACAACGGCCACATGGAATCGGTGGAGCTGCTCGGAGGAAGAAGGAACAAGAAAGAAGGAAAGAAAGATGAAAAGAAAACGAGGCAAACGCATCTTGGCCATTGAAATTTAGCATGTCGATGTATAAAAATCGATTTTGTTGATAAAAGTATAATGTCAAGTTGAAGACGTAAATTCCAATCCTTTAAATATATAGAATTCGAATCTACATCGAAATATCAAACTTAGGGTGCGTTTGTTTCGCGGAAAACACTTTCCTCATTTTTCGGCGTTGGGTTTGCTTAGGAAAATAAGTCAACGGAAAATATTTTCCTAGTTAACGGAAAATTTTTTCTTACCAAAAGCTTAAATTCAGGAAAATGATTTCCCCTTTAAAAGAACCGGAAAACGTTTTCCAAAATATGAATAGCTATCGACACTTGAACCCGAAACTCTACGCTTGAGCACGAAAACCCCTACGTTGGTTCCCGAGTCCCGACATTTAGGACCAGGTCTCGACGGCCGGGCTCAAGACCTCGATGTCTAGGGCCCGAGCCGGGTCCATTGAGGCTGAGCCCGAACCCCTGGTGCCCGTACCCGATGTTCCGACACCCAAATTCGGGTCCATAAAGGCCGTGCTCAGGTCACCGATAATCGAGCTCTAGTCCCAACCCTCCAACCCGAATCCACAAAAGCCATGCACAGGTCCTCAGTGCTCAGGCTCGGGTCCTTAGTGAAACAATTGTTTTCATAAAAAAATTTAATTAAAAAAGTCGAATTTTTATTTATTTATTTTTAAAAATCGTTTTTTATTATTTTTTAAAAAATTGAATTATTTATTTTTTATTTTCTTTTTTTTTCTTTTCTTTCTTTTTCTTTTCTTTTTCTTTTCTTTTCTTTTTCTTCTTCCTCAAGTCGGTCGCCGGCCACGGCGACGGTCGGCGAGCTCGCAGCAGCCTCTGGCAGCGAGCCTCGAACTCGCCGCCAAAGGCCGTCGCGAGCTCGAGGCTTGGCCGATCCAAGCGAGCCTGAACTCCACCGAGGTTGGCGAGCCCGGGCTTGGCTGAGGCCAGCAAGCTCGCGGCTCGCCAGATCCAGGCGAGCCCAGGCTCAGCCGGGGCCGGTGAGCTTGAGCTCACCTGTGGCCATCGCCAGGCGAGCCTTAAGCTTGCCGGTGGCCGTCGCCGGCCGATCGCAGTGGAGGGAGGAGGAGGGAAGAGGAAAAAGAAAAGGAAAGAAAAGCAAAAAGAAAATTTAAAAATAATAATAAAATTTCAATTTTTTTAAAAAAATAAAATTAAAAAGAGAAATAAAAAATTTTAAAATTCGATTTTTTAAAATATAATAATATTTTTTCCTAAAATAAAGTCATGAGATTTAAATCATTTTCCAATGAAATCCAAATATCAGAAAACGATTTTCATTGTGGATCACCAAACAAAGGAAAACTAAATGCATTCTTGAAAAATGATTTTCCGGAAAATATTTTCTTTTATCATTGAGTTTTCCCCAAAACAAACGTACCCTTAGGCTGTAGAAATATCAAATAGTAATATCAAAGAGTAATAGGATCCACTTATATATTTTCTTTCATATACATACAGCTAATCACAAATCCTAATTGCCTATATTTTGTTATATCCTTCCACTTGAGCCACGTTATATTGGAGTAAGCTCTTCTCCTAGCTTTCTTTTTTGTCATTCTCCAACTTGGTTGTCCCCCACCAAAAAAAGAAAATCTCGAATATTTTATTTCGCCAAAGGAGAA